CCGTATGACCCCCTCTCCTCCCCCTCTCTCTCTCTCTCTCTTTCTCTCGCTGTCGCGCTCTCTCTGTAAGCTAACATGGCCAGTTGGACTATTATACGCGATAAGTACATTAGCCTGCGCATTGTAACTAATGGGAAATGTGTGTAGTTGTGGCGCACTTGTTTTATGCACGATGCTCAACAGGCGCACGCACGCGCATGCGTAGTACAGCAATATGACGTCATCCGTTACGGACGTTATCGCAACGTGGCGGTGCGCTGCGACGCAGCTTCTGCATTTGTGGATCTACGCCTCCTCCTCCTCTTCCTTTGCCAACAAAGGATTAGTCATCCCGTAATTAACACTGCCTAATTAAGTATGCATAAACACGCGCGACGACGGCCGAAAAGAATCGGCGGTCGTTTTCAGGTTTACACCTCTTCGGTAGAAGTGTGCGTAGGATGACGACAGATTACAGCGGGGTGCGTGGGGGTGGGGGAGTCGATGCGACAGAGCATGTGAGACCGTGTATACATGGGCGTGTGCGCACTCCGCAGATCACAATGCGAGTCGCCGTTATGTCATGTCTCCGGCCCTATGCCACTGCTGCAGAATACCATAATCTTGAACAGTACCGGGTAACTGAGCCGGGTAACTAGAATGGATCTTCGTGTGTTTCTCGGGTGCACTAGGTAATATTAAAATATAATGCTAGTGATGCAAACTAGTGTACTCAATTAATGGTTGTACTTAATAGCTACAATGGTCGAGGCAGTAGAGTTATATTAAGTTATTAACCCAGCCCCCCCCCACCGACATTTCACGTGTTTTCTATCACGCACACGTTGCGCTGACGTCATCTACATCATCGAAACCTCTCCCACCCAGAGAAAGGAGGAGAGAAAGATGAAAATAAGCGTTCCCCAACACCGTGTTCGTCCTCCGTAACGGCCCGATATAATGAGATTTGCTGATTACGCTAGTTAATTAGCGATCACCAAAGTGTTAATGAATCATCACGCCCAAATGTGAGACAATGAATAACAGGCTGTCAATCACTCACGCATCGCATTCCACACCTGTTACGCGCGTGCGGTTGCCATGGCAATACTTTAGGGATTCGTTTCAATATAGACGTGAAAAAAGATTCGCAGACTGTGCGAAACGCATCGATACATGCATACGCTAGCGGCCGGCCTTGTATTATAAAAGAGCGATACATGTAATAAAAGTGGCACGTAATATATATAATAGCCGATATAGGCGAAGATATATAGACACGCGTAAAACGGCGAGAAGATAAGAGAGCGAGAGCGAACCGAGAGAGAACAAGTATGAAATACGGATAGACTGAGTAGAATGAGAGTACCGACTAATGAAGAGAGAGCCCTAGTTTGTAGACGGAGGCTTAGATGAGAGATTAACAAACTTGATGAACGATGTTATGAGAAACAGGGAAATACGGTTAGGTAAACATATCAAGGCAGTGTTGGGTAAATATATAGCTGCGGGATATAGTGAGGAGACGAGCAGTGGAAGCGTAAAATCTCCGATGTTACTGGATCGTCACCATCGTCGTCGTCGTCGTCGTCGTCGCTGTTGCTGTCATTGTATTGTTATTTTAGCTGCTGTTATATGTTATCTTTGCTGTTACTTTTGCTGTTACAGTTGCTGTTATTATGTTTATGGTTGTTGTCGTTGATGTTGTCGCTGTTGTTGTTGTTGTTGTTGTTGTTGTTGTTGTTGTTGTTGTTGTTGTTGATGTCGTTGCTGTTGTTGCTGTTGTTGTTGTGGCTGCTGGTGTTGTTGTTGTTGTTGTTGTGGTTGTTGTTATTATAATTGTTTTAATTATTATTGTAGTAATTGGTGTTGTTGTTGTTGCTGCTGCTATTATGTTATTGCTATTTTTGTTATAATTGTTGTTATTATTATTGTTGTTGTTATTGCTATTAGCAATATTATTGTTGTCGTTGCTGCTGCTGTTGTTGTTGTTGATAATGAGGAAGATGATGATGATGTTGTTGGTAGTAATTGTATTTTTTCGTTTTGTTTTTGATATTGGGTCCCTGCTGTTGCTGCTGTCGTCGCTGTCGTCGTTGTTGTTGTCGTTGGGACACGCCGATGATCATACAATCATCGCAGCGGCAGCGAGTATCGTTGTGACGCCAAGAACAAAGAGAAGAGCACCCGCCCCCACACAATACACAGAAGGAAGAGGTATAAACTGATATTACATATATATATATATAAATATAGAGAGAGAGAGAGAGAGGGAGAGAGAGAGAGAGAGAGAGAGAGAGAGAGAGAGAGAGAGAGAGAGAGAGAGGAGAGAGAGGGAGAGGGAAAGAAAGGGGAAGAGATAGAGAGAGAGAGAGGGAGAGAGAGAGATAGAGAGAGAGTGAGAGAGCGAGAAGAGAGAGAGAGAGACAGAGGGGGAGAGAGAGAGCGATTGAGAGAGAAAAAGGGGGCGAGAGAGATCGCGTCCTCATGCCAAACAAACGCATCAGAAATTGCGGCGCGACAAATGTGCGACAAATGTCCGGGAAATGTGCTCGAGAGCTCACGTGAGTGAATGACGCCACTCGCTTGCAAAGTCAACAACAGTGTCAGCTAGCGTCGTCGGTTTGCTAGAGCGAGCAAGGGGGGAGGGGTGAGGGAAGCGGATGCGAGGCTGCAGCGCTCAACTGATTCACGCCAGCTCTAATGAACATGTCCATGTACACCGCACGCATATTAGAATCCATATAATTATATATATTATATTATATAGTGTGTGGTGTGTGTGTGTGTGTGTGTTGGTGTGTGTGTGTGTGTGTGTGTGTGTGTGGTGTGTGTGTGTGTGTTTGTGTGTGTGTGTGTGTGTGTGTGTGTGTGTGTGTGTGTGTGTGGTGTGTTGTTGTGTGTGTGCGTGTGCGTGTGGCTGTGCGTGTGCGCGTGCGTGTGTGTGCGTGTGCGGAGTCTCATAGGGTTGTCCGGTGATTTTAATTGTAGCTGTTATCTATAAGTTCGATTATGTGTGTGTGTATGCGCGCGCGCGGCGGTGTGTTGATGCGTGCACACATGCATGCGCGCACGGTGTGTTTTGCGTGTCGTCGTGGAATCGCATGTTGCGCGCAGCATTACAGCAGAGTATGACGGTAGCCTCCCAACCGACTCAACACGGTATAGTCGATCCACGTTATCCTCTTACAGGTGGCGTGTTACTATTGCGGCACGTAGTCTTATATTCCGCTCAGCTTTAATCCTCTCTCTCTCTCTCTCCTGCTCTCGTCTCTCTCTCTTCTCTCTCCTCTCGTCTCCTTCTCTCTTCTCTCTGTTTACGCTATCTCTCCTCGCATCTCTCTCTTTTCTCCCTCCTCGCTCTCTCTCGCCTCGAGCCTTTCTCTCTCTCTCTCTCTCTCTCATTCTCATCCTTTCCTCTCATCTCTCGTCCTCTATCTTTCTCTCTCTCATCTC